CGATACTTTTCATGTTTCCATCAAGATTCATATGAATACAAACATCTCATACCCTAGGGGTCTTCCATCAAAACTGGGTTCTTTCTTTTGGATTGTCAGCGTAATGTATTGAACAGGAGGACGAAACTGCAGCTTGTAATGCTGAGCCAAAATAATGAGTTGAATGTTGTTGTTTCCAAGAAAGTCTTACCTTGAGCTAGGCGGGAGAAGGAGGAAGCTATGGTGGTGGTTGTGGGCGATTCATGAGATTGTGGTGGTGCTGAGATGTGTAATCAGATGGGTGGATAACATAGAGACCGGGCTGATTCATATTTAAGAAGGGCTGAGAGGGATGAGGAGTAGCTATGGATGAAGGTGGGCGTGTAGCTGAGAGTGAGAATCCTGATGATGCTGCATTTGAGAACAGAGGCGGTGCTGTAGCTGCTACGGCGGTCCCACCACTGGACTGATCATGCCCTTGCCATGTCCTGGCTGGGAAGCTTTGATGAGAACGTAACATATGACCTTTCTCTGGTGTTCTTTCCTGGAGACAAGAATTGAACTTTTAGGGCAGAAGATTAATCATTCAAATCTTCAAGAATATCACAACATAGAACTCATAGAAGTATAACTAACAAGCAACAACATAGAACTCTTCTCAAAGGAAATCAAAGAGTTGAGCTCAAGTACTTAACTGATCAAATATCACAACAGTAACCACCTGATGAACATCTAACTGAATTTCTTATCGCACAAATTCCTCATTAAAGTTCGATAAATTTAAAATTGTCATTCTATTTCATATGGTGTATTAGTTCTGGACAGAAGGTACAAAAGATTGTGCAAGTTATAAATGTGTGGCAGTGACAAATAGTTGGATATAACGAGATGTGTGCTAGGTATTTTACTATTTACCATGGGTGAAAAGAACGCAGAAGGAAGGGAATGCCGGTTATTAAGATGGTCTGAACCCCTCTTCAAGAAATTGAAAGGCGTATCACATGCCGCTGCAGCCATGTGGTTCTCCATCTGTGAATAGATCAAATGGAAGAGCAAGAAATTCATCAATAAATGAAAAACCATGAGGGCTCGAGCTAGCTAATGAGACAGTATCTTTCAGTTCCAGGTTGCTATGACATATCGACAGAGAAACATTTGACTAACAGTTGCAGCAAAACGCATATGAAAGTAAAGTAAATCATATTTGGTGCACTAAAGAGAAAATTGCACCATGATGTTCCTTCCACATACAGTAATATTAGGGACATGGTGAAGCCGAAGAGCCCTTTCTTTTTGCTTTGGACCATCTCCCAGTGAAAGAGAGATTCCCAAGTTGAGGTCGAGCTTAACATTAGCTAAATATTAAGATCAGAAAAACAAGTTAGTAGCAGCTTTTCACATATTGAGCAGAGATATCAATGATACAGCAAAAGCTGCATAGCATTGACCAGTTTAACAAGCAAGGAACCCGAGCATCAATTACATTACCTGCCTCGGGAATCATCCGGGATGCATGAGGCTCAATTAAGGAAGCCGCTTCCCTTCCATTCCATTGTATGGCTGCCTTGTCAGAAGCCCTAATTACATAAGAATCTGAGCAATTAGTCTTGAAATTGTCCTAATAGATCAATAATTCAGGATAAAAAACTTCATCATACTGTGATTTACAATCACCAAGAGCATACAGCTTTTACTCAGATGACAATCATCCCAAGATAGATATAAATGTCTCATAGCCATCAGAATCTCTAGATATAACCCATAATCAAAAACGGGTCTTCCTGCTAATGGTTCTAACAGAAACCTCGTTCACATTAACGAAAAATAACCAAACCCTTCATCTGAGGCACTTCACTCTTTTTAGCAATGACTGACAGCCACATTCAGACGAAAACACGAAGAAATTGCATGTGTAAAAGCCCATATTTAGATCCCAGGAAAAGTTAATTACATGTTTCCATGAAACTGCTCCATTTGAGCTCCCCACCCGCCAATCTTTTGCAAAGAAACTCCTTGATATCTTGAGTTATTCCTTGAGAAACCAGAGCTCTGTCGCCGAAGTACTTGCACAACTTCCTCTTTGGAAAGATTCGCCATCTGTAAAGTTTGAAAACCAGATAAGAACAAATCAAAGCGAACATGTCTTCATTTGTACATCTATAATCAAAACCTGCTTGAGATCCTCTTCATAATCGCTGATAATGAAATTGATGTCAGCCTCCAGACCCCGGAACTTGACAGCAGCTCGATCATACGCCCTACATGAACCGATGATGAACTTATGAAAAACAGGTGACGGATCAATTGAAGATCATACAAATACAAAACAACATAATTTCCAAAGGCATTACCTAGCTGCAGCATGGGCAGTATCAAATCCACCTATTGGATTCAAAAAGTTAAAACTTTATTAGAGAGTTAAGAGCACAGCAGAAATCATTTCATAGTGGTGAAACCAATAGAATCCATACCTAAATAAACTTGTTTACCGCAATCCCTGCAAGCATGAAAATTGACAAAAAGGAAAAAGATTAATACAAAATCTAAAGGCCAGAGCTTGGACCTGAAAGATAAACCAAGTTCTTTCCTTTTCGACCAAAGATCTAACAAATAATCTAAGACCTATCTAAAAGATAATCAATCAGAAGTAGATTTACCAGATATGCGATTCCCATCTCCCTGTCCTCCGATAGAAAGTGACGCCTCTATACTGCGAACTCTTAGACCTAGGACCTCTCCTGCTTTTCTTCACCGGCTGTGATGGTGGCTGCATCACCCGTGCAGCATCGGCACCGCTTCCACTTCCAAGAAAGTCTCCGCCTTGTTTCCCTCTCTGGAAGGAAATATCAACGGTGCTCCTGGAACTTTGTGCGCTCGAATCCATAAAATTCATGCCTTTAGCAACAGGAAAAAACTCCTTAGTCATCATCACAGCACTTCTTTCATCATCATCTTCTTCTTCTTCTTCTTCCTCTCCTCCTTTTAGTATCTCAAATTGAAACTTGACGGTTCGTGTAGAACACAACTCATCTTCACCATCTATGCAGCTAGAAGCTTCAGCATTAACAACAGAAGAGTTCGACGTCACTGATTCATCCATCTGATTCAAAGAAACCCCTTCAACAGTAACCGAATCTCGTTCGTTCTGAGTAGACTCGGCCGAGTCGACGTCGAGATTGAGATCCAGCATCAATCTCAAAAAGTCAACAAAAAAGTAAACAAACTCTGAGATTTTCACAACAACAACAACTATTTCTTCAAGCTCTTACTTACACATTGATCAAACTTATACACTAATCCGACCAATAAATTTCAACGATCGCCGTCGATTTGAAATAAACAGAGCTCAAAAATCACATTTCATCGGAGAAAATCTGTAAGTGTATGGAAAAATAAATCAGAGAGATTTAGATTCTGAAATACGGCGAGGATTCGCGACGGAGAAGGAATAATAATTACAGAGAAAGAAGGAAAAGCTCGATCACTAAGGAGAGAAACGAGATTGAGGAGACATGGATGACGATGAAGATTTGAAGAGACAAAATAGCTTTCGCCGGACGAAAGAGATAATCGTCGGCGAACGGGGAAGGAATGATGATGGGACGTAAGCCTGTGGGTTAGTGGCAACAAAGGAACATTATAACATTTATTTATTCCTTCCATCTTTCTCGGCAATTTGATACCGGTTCTGTCAGTTCCCGGTTAAAGTTAAAACGTGCTACTTGTTTTGTTTTATTAGGCTTGGTTTAGTTTATAATTAGTGTAATACTATCATCAAATTTACTGTTTAAAGTTTGGCATTGCACTAAAACTATAGTTGTGTCATGTGTGTGTAAGCTTTTTTGTGAATATTTTATAGAATGAATCAAACCAAATTTGGTTTTATCTCTTATGAATCTGCAAACAAATAAGTAACCAACAAGATTGGTAAAGAAAAATGGCGGAAAAAAAAGAAAAAAAAAAAAGAAAGAAAAACGAATCTACAGTACCTATTCACAAATCACAACTTTGAAGACACATAAAAACCAAAAAACACTTTGAAGTCACATATTCATAAGCTTTGAAGACAAAGCATTTGTTTACATTTATTGGCGGGTCATATTTGCAGCTACGTCCTCCTCACATTCAAAAATCTGTAAAGACTTAAAGAGTGAGATAGAATAATATGACTTTTTATTGATTTAAATAGATAACAAGTATCCAACTAAGAACTAACGTAACAAATGTGTCACATGTAAGAAAAAGGTGTAAAAGCTATATATTATATCATTTAAAAAGTTGTTATTATTATAAAACAATGTGAAATTATATACGGAAAATAGTTAAAGATGACGGAAAGAAAAAAATTCACTAACATCAGGTTTGATAGCTATAGTTTTTCTAACTCGATATAGTGATGAAATTTGGTTTTAATTTGTACAGTTTTAACAACCATTACTCACACGTTAATTACTATTGAAATTGGATGATGTATGTTATCCTTGCCTCGTTTGTAGTCAAATTATAGTAGATAAAAATGAAGCATGTGTTTCCTACAATATCTAAACACATTGTAAAAATCTATCAAGTCTAGAGAAAATCATCTCTGCATCAATTGTGTGTCATATTATTTTTAGATTTTCATTGACTAGCTGTAAGTAAAAAAAACACATATGATCTAAAACATTTTATTGTGAATAAACAGAAAATCCAAAAAAAAAGTGAGAAAGATAACAAATACATCATCAATTTGTATCAAATCTTATGGTTTGAAAGCAAAGTATCTTGTATTCATTAGTACTATTTTCTAAGACTACATAGCTTGAGAGCAATGTAATACAAAGAGATCAACAAAGAAATTGATAGGTTTTTAAGATAGGTACATTCAATAGTGTAAACACAGATATTTTGGATAGAATTTTTTTTTTAAAAGGAGTAAAATTCAGATGTTCAAAAAAAAAAAAAGGAGTAAGATGAATTACAATTTACAAACTACAACACTACGTATATGTCACAACTCACCAATGCCGGTCCGGTGAAATCCGGGGCCAAATACGAAAAATAAAATTGGGGTTTTTTTAAAAAGTAGAAACTGCTAAAAAAAATTTTTTTGCTAATTATGGAGCATTTATAATTTTTATTTAACAATTTTTCTTAAATTTTAAAGATTTTTTGCTAATTATGAGGCCTTTTTGCTAATTGTGAAGTCTTTTTTGTTAATTTTTGAGGCTTCTTTTACTATGTTGAAGCCTTTTTTGTTAATTTTTGAAGTCTTTTTTACTAATTTTGAAACCTATTTCATAATTTTAGGGCTTCAAAAAAAAAAAAATCTTAACAAAATGGGCCTCACAAATTTGAGGCCCAATACAAATGATTCACCAAAATGGGTGAAAGGCCGGGCCTCCAACTCACAAGGAAAAAAGACTTCACTACGTATTATGGTCTTGACACAGGTTACCGGCGGAAAATGAAGATGGCCTAAAAATATCTAATCTTTGTGTCCATACGAATCTCTCCTTTTCTTTGGAAATGTTTATTGAGTGGGGTAGGTCAAATGAAAATTGCGACTGGCTTTAGCCGGTTGCCAAAGTTAAGAGTGTCAGAAAAATCTCGAAGATCAAGGATTTTGACGAGTAATATAAAGCCGCGTGTACAACAGAGATTGAACCCCAGCCATTCAACTACTCTCTCAGCCATCTCAGGTCAAATATCTGATCTGACGGCCCACGTCCATTCTCACTTTCCTTAAATTTAGGGAATTTAACAGTTTCAGAATTTTCTTTTTTTTTTCATTTTCATGCCCATTCCTTATTTCAACCTCTTTTCAAGATTTGCCGTTTTACTACCAAGTACAACCTTAATTTTACTTTTGCCTAAATGTCAAAGTGAAATTAGGTTGTTAGAATCACATACTTGCAAGATTTTTTTTTTTTTTTTTGGTAGGATTCTTGCAAGATGATCATACATATGAGTAAATTTGCTTTACATTAAAAAAAAAAAAAAGAGAGTGTCTTTATCTAGAATTTAAAATGTCACTGTTATTATATTATTATCCTTTTTCCGTTGTCATTTTCGTAATAAATATTATCAATCATTTCTTCGTGAAATCATATATATTAATCATATAAGGCAGACGAGGTTGAATTGAAAGACGTGGACGCCTTCTGTCCTATCCTTGCAATGATAATACATTTATATTTTTTTTTTGGCAAACTCTTGACACCTAATTTATCACAGTTTGACTAAATTTCCCGTCGCATATAATTGATTTTGCTGAGAAAGCTACAATTGCCTTTTCACCGATTGAAGGCTTGTTCAAAATTTTCTATTGTGATTTTTTTTTCTATTGTGAAATTAGTAACATTTGTTTTCGATATGTCACATTTCTTAATATACAGATTCACTAGAATTGATGTCGCTATGATTCCATCATGGAATAAAATCATAAAATATATATTTTAAAATCAAGGATAATATTTATATTATCATAGTTGTCGACAAAGTCTATGACCATATGATTTTACTCTTTATCTTATTCAGAAATGACCATAATTCGACTCATTCACATCAAGATCATGAATGTTTAGAATCCATATTATGCAATCACCAGTTTGACTTGGGGAGGCGGTGAGTTAGTAGCAGTGGGTGGCAAAGTAGCCCATTTCTTCTGACTCTTTTTCAAATTCGATAAATGTTGGTTGATCGTATCTTTCGCTGTGCGTATCGACCCGTGCAGTGCTGTAGCTAACACGTTACTCGAACTGATGACTTCCACCACGTCAAGGTGACACTCTACCGCTGAGTTATATCCCGGGGGAAAGGCTACATCCAGTACCGGACCAATGATTTGAGCGATACGTCCCAGGTTTTTTTTTTCACGTATCGAAACCTCTGGATCCCAAGCGCACAAATTCTCTAAAACTATAAGTAGATAATTGAGAGCTTTCTTCTTAGCGGCTTGGCCGGTAGTAGGTATTTGGTTTTCTGGTACGATGTGACACGGCAAGTTTCAAGTTGGCCATTCTTTCGTGCGATTATTAAATTATACCGATTTCAACAATATACAAGTATATAGGGTGTGACTGGTGTGGTTTAAGAAGAAAAGAGAAGAAAAATAAGAGAGGAAATGAGAAGAAAAGAAAAATAAATAGTAGAAGAAATTTGTATACCATGTATTGATGGGAGGAAATTTTTATAGTTATTTCTACTGAAAATTAGAAGAATTGAGAAGAATTGGTTGGTGAATAAATTCTTCTTGATTGGAGGAATGACAGAGTAATTGAGAAGAATTATTTTTCTTTCTAATTCTTTTCCTTTATTTATAACATCCAATCATACCCATAGAAATTGTCAAGTATAGGTGATCAAAAAAAAAAAAAAGGGAATTGTCAAGTACGAGTATCTTTTATCTAATATTTAAACGTAAGACCAACTGAAAACAAAGTAATAATGTGATTTCGTTTACAACTCTCGATTTAGGTTTGTTTTGTTTTCGGAAATAAGAATTCTAGAAGAAATGTGTATTAGCCAATTTTGCTTTTCAAATTGTGTAATTCTTCCTCATAAAAACTCCAACCTTAAAAAAAAAAAAGTAGTTAATGACGAAAAACCTATTTTACAAGAGTTATGTATCTACCTTAAACACCCATACAATTTAAGGTTATAAATGGTTGTTTTAAGTTGAATGAGTTAAAAATCATTCAATCTATTCATCTGCAATAATTGAATGAGTTGAACATTTTTGCTTTAGAATTTATTCAATTTTTCAGGTTTTTAAGTTGAATGAAGTGAATCTTTTTTTCGATTCTTTCATCTCAAATGGTGAAAAATTTGTTAAATGTTCATTCAACTCTTTCAACTTAGTATTTTGTGTCACCCATTTGTAGTCGTAACTAGTTTGAGACATAAATAGTTCCTTTAATAGACATAAACTATTGATAAGATCGTATCTAGCTAAAATATATTTGCTTATATCTTTACCCTAATAATATGTCTCTCTTTGTGAATGTTTTTTTGTAATGGCAGGTGGGAGAAGAAGTTTGAGGTGCTGTTCACATCTAAGCTCATTTACATGGATCCTAGGATCACTGTTGCTTGGTGCAAACGTCATGGAGTACCAATCCAAAAGGTAGAAAACTTCTAAACTCAAGAAACAACATTGTGTTTTTTCCCTTACAAAACTCAAAAGAAAATTGATTCTTGTTCTAAGTATTCAATACATCTCTGATGGAGAAATTTGACTGGACAATTGATGCAGAACCAGATTTCATATTCCGATGAATTTGGAGAGGAAAACAAGCCTAGCATATGAACTTTGCTTTTTGTATTGCATTTTCTAGTTATTTTGCCTTTGTAAGCCAATAAACAGTTTGTAGTGTTATTTTGCCTTTGTATCCTAATAACAGAGATTTGAAAGCGCTGAAACAGTTTGTATTATGATTTTGCATTTGTATCCAAAAAAACAGAGATTTGAAAGCGCTGAAAACAGTTTGTAGTGTGATTTTGCCTTTGTATCCCAAAAAAACAGAGATTTGAGAACGCGGAGTTGCTTTCGACTTTTGTAGCAAAAACTTGGAAATGTAGAAGTTTCCCTTTGTTTCTATACTTGTTTCAGACTTTGTGAGGAAAATGGAGAGATCTCCAATGTCTTGAGTGTAAACAGCGCTTCCTTTATCATCTAGCTTGAACACCATTAAAGCTGTCGCTGGTCTCGGCTGTCTTCTTGTACAACTTAACCATGAAAGTTTCACCGGTGGTTCTTGACTCCACCAAGTGTTCGCTCTTGCAGCACGAATCTAGAAGCCTTTTGTTGTCCTTGGTCATATTGGGAATCTTTCTGAACCCCAACCTCTGAAACTTGGGTTTGTTGACATGTTTTGTGAGATCCCATGATGCGATGAGGTGGCCTCCAGATCCAGGTATGTGAAACATGTCATCTCTCTTGGAATACA